TCTGTCTCTCTCTGTCTGTCTCTCTGTCTCTCTCTCTGTCTCTCTCTCTCAGTCCACACACCGACCCCTCTCTCTTCCCGCCTCCTGACGCTTGCTGCAGTGTCATGGCTGCTGCAGTGTGATTGGTCGGTGGTTGTGGGACCAGGCGAGATGCCGTTACTCGGTCGGGGACAGAGGATCGATTGGTCTGTCTCTTCTCTGCTGGTGAGCTCTGATCATTATTTACATTCTATCCTCGTTCTTTCTGCTCGTCACTTTTAGTTCATGTGGGTCACGTGACCTCAGAGGTGAAGTAGGTTTACCTCACAGTTTAAGTCTTGTGCTGTTCTAGGTCATACGTGTTACATGTTAAATAACAGTTTGGAGTGTTTGACGTGTTTATTCTTCTAATACAGTGAGTGAACTCCTGATCTACTACCAGTCCATGAAACAGAGTCCATGTGTCTGCTTCAATCATTAAGTTCAAGTCACAATTTCTTTAGAATTTGTGTAAAATGATCCGTCAGTTTCTACCACAGTCTGTGATTTAAGATGGACCCTGCCTCCTCCATGTTAGCAGATGGAATAATCATGACTGATTGCTTAAATAGACTTCTTATTGGCCAGGTGTGTGTGGGTGGGACCTCATTACCATAGCTCCACCTATGGCATAATTGTTTGCAGCATTGTAACCAGATGTGCGGAGCAGGCTATGACGCTGAAAGAATCCGATGTTAGCTTGCTCACTTCTCTGCATCCTGTTGTGAATCGTTATGTTCGTTAAGTCCTCATGTAATTACACACACACACATTAAGTTCATGGAATAGATGCTAATTGAAAATCCATTCACTTTTGAAAAAACTTGACATGAAGTCTTATCAACGCAAAGATTCTTCTCACGTCACCGAGAATCAGATACTTAGAAGACAAACTCATGGTCGCCCCCTATGGACGCCTGGAGTACAATATAACTTCTGTACTTTGAACAGAGGCGGATGTCTCCTCACTGACTCTGGCTCTCGAGGTTTCTCTCTGTTAATGAGAGTTTTTCCTCCACAGTCTCAAAGTGCTGCTCATCTTGGGAACTGTCGGTTTCTCTATATTTTGGTTTAAAGGTCTTGACCTTCTATGTAAAGAGCCTTGAGATAATGTATATTATGATTTGGCGCTATACAAATAAAATTGAATTGAAAAGTCGTGTTGCTCTGACGGACTCTGGTTCACTGGTGTCTCTCGGTCACAGTCTGTTCCCTCAGCCTGATGATAATCACAGGTGAAGCAGATTATCAGGTATTAAGTGATCAGTTTAATTGCTTCCTTGTGTCCCGGCCGTCGGGTTCACTGCTCGCTCTTGTGTTTGTGAGGCCCAGAGACCTGCTGCCGTCTGGTCGTTCATGTGCAATGATCCGTTTCGTTTTGATCGTGGCGCGACAAGAAAAACCCACAGAGGAGAGAAGTGAACTGGAGTCAGGCCCAGTCGCTCTTGTTGGATGAAACCAGTCCAGAGCTCCTGGTTCTAATCAGGGAGAATGTCACAAAGCTTCACCTTCACGTCGGAGACGTCCTCAAATAGTCGACATGCAAGGAACAACCTTTTTATTGATAATAATTGTTGTGTCTTCACTTTTATATATGAAATGTCGGTGGTGTTTCCTCAATGACATTTCTTTATCAAAGGGTTTGATAACAACCGATGTTTCGGAATCAGAACATCGTCACTCTCTAATTTACATATGTCAGCCCCAAATAATCAGTCAGGCTAGCTAGCAAAGATTGTTACATGAGATATTGTATAATATGAATTAAAAGATTAATAATTCAGTGTGATACAAACACAAATCAGCCGATTGTTCGCTCAGCTGGTAGTGAGCACCCTCTGCTGGATCACGAGCTAAACTTCGGTCTCGTGCTGCTTCAGAAAGATCTACATCAGACTGCAGCTCTGGGACAGTGAAGCCAAACCATCTTAATAGCCCCCTGGTGGCTGGCTGCAGAATAGGGCATACACCCCCACCCCTCCACACACACACACACACACACACACACACACACACACATGGACATAATACTTACTCTGTCATGCCCCTCTGACAGTTTTTAATCAGAGTTTGTTGGAGTTTCCTGACGTCGCTGGATTGGATTGTTTGTGTGTGTGTGTGTGTGTATGTGTGTGTGTGTGTGTGTGTGTGTGTGTGTGTGTGTGTGTGTGTGTGTGTGTGTGTGTGTGTGTGTCAGGGACAATGACAAAATCCTGACACGACAAAATGATTTGATTTATTTTTATAGCAGAGACACAGAGAGAAAGGACGAGGTAGGATGTTGTAGTGTTTTTGAATCTGTTGTGTTCATTGGTTGTCAGGGCGATCATGGGTCCGCATGGAATCAGCCGAGTCGTTCAGAGGCTGGAGTTCTGCGACTGCAAGAAGGGACTCGGTGAGTGTCGACCTGTGACCTCTGTGACCTCTGTGAC